TCAGGGATTGAAATTAACTTTTTCACTCACCAGCCAATTTGGCTACTAAATTTTTATGTTACCAGCCATTCATAACTTCTACTAGCCAAAAAAACATAAATAAACCAACAGCTTGAGGCTGTCTACACTGGGCATGACAAAGCGATCGTTGCAAATCATTTTTTGTCAGTACTAGGGGTGTGCGATATTGACAAAAATGAATCTCAATATTTTCTGGAATTTTATATCAATAAAGATAATTAGACAATATTTTGCTAAGTGTGTTATTGTGCTGATATAAGGACTACCGTTAACAGCTGACTCCTAAAGTTTTTTTTATATATTTCATATTCTGTGTGGTTAGTTCACAGCAGTGATATAAATTAATCTTTTCCAATAAGTTTAAATTGATTTTTACCTTTTATGGGCATTTTTACCTTTATAAAGCCATTTTTCCTAAAAGTGTGCATAATCATTTGAGTCAAATTCTTACATTTAATCAGTCAAATATAATAATAATACATTTAGGCTGTTACTAAACAAATGAAATCAATATAAACAAAATTAATCTTTGCAGAAGTTGCATATGAAGTGGCATTTAGATGTATTTACACATGTTAATGCAGCTTAGAGGGACATGGAATGCTTTACCCTGCAGTTACAAATGCATAAATAATGTTTTGATATTTTAAACATGAAATGTTGAATATTGACATCTGGAAATTATTTTAAAGATGAAAAGATACTTGAAATGTAAAATTAAAACAATTAAAACCACCAGTAGGTGGCAGCAAATCACTGTTAAGTGAGTCATTGCGATTGAACCGAATCATTTACACGTTCCCCAAGAAATAAATGAAAACCTGCCAAATTGGCAAGTGATTTCACAGCGTTACCCGCCACAGCTGATTTTTACCCACATTTGGTGGGTTGGCGGGTGTTCATTTCAAACCCTGGTTATGTTGATTCACAGTGCATTAACTAATGTTAACAACCACAACTTTTGATTTTAATAATGCATTAGTAAAGGTTGAAAATAACTAACTAAGATGAATAAATGCTGTAGAGGTATTGTTCATTCTTAGTTCATGTTAACTAAAGTAGTTAACTAATGAATCTTATTGTAAAGTGTTACCCAAAGTATTTAATTCAAACATTAAACGAATACTAAATAATATGTTGAAAGGTAAATGTAACATACAACAGATTAATGAGCTCTTTTAGGAATCACCTTTACAACATTAATCCATAAAGTGAATTATTTTTGTTCCTTTTCAGTTTACTGTGCAATTTAGTGTACAACTGAATCCAAAAGACCTTTAATATTTTACACATCATCTCACCTGAGATCCTTCAGTTTACGGTTACTGAAAGGGGTCATGAACTGAGAAATTACATTTCCCTTGATCTTTTGACATGTAACAGGTCAACATACTATAAAAACATCATAGATGTGAACATCAAGATCAACGCCTGTTTCTATATTATTACCTCTTTAGCCCCGACCACTGATTCACACATGTAATAGGACGAGAGGAAATACTAGAGAAACACAGGATTACTCCATCAACAAAACCATAGAGATGCCTCCGAGGATTACAA